TTAATAATGCCAATTCTGAATGAATGGCTGGAGATTGGTTCGGGAGGAAATCCTGAGAGGTGGACAACTTTGAGGTGTTTCTGGAACCAGAGATGTGATACTGGACGATTAGCGTCATCAGTAAAAAGGGGGGCTAGGGGGTTTGTTTCTTATAATCCTCGAGTGTAGGTATACTAGAGAGTTTGGACTGGGTGGGTGAGGGCAGGAATGTTGAAGATGTAAATGAAATGTTCTTTGTCAATAGATCTATCTTACTTTGCAGGACGAGGAAACCCTTTCTTTCCTCATCACACAAAATTAGATCTGCTATGGTGGGTTGGAGTGAGGGTTGAGTTTGAATGTTTCATGCTGTGATGTGTGACTGAAGGGTCTGAAGGTTACTACTTTAATGGTAAGTGATATGGAGTTTGGTGGAGGTTATAATGGGGGTGGCTTAAGGTAATGTCATTTGTGGAAAGGGATGGACAGGCGTTGAGTTGGGGTCCACTTCTGTAGCCAGTGACCAAAGTTTCTGGAAAGAAAATGAGAGAGAGTCAGTGATTTGGTTTTGCAACCTGGCACGTATTATGCAGACATGATAAATTGACTAATGTCAAATAAGACATCTTAAAAGTAGCATTAAAGCTAAGAGAGTAGGAACGCCTTTGTCTATGCATTATATTGTTTCTTCCTCAACACAATAAATGAGAATCCTAGAGGTGGACCATTCGTCTCCCCATAGTATGGTGGCAGCGACTATTGGGTACAGTTTGAAGAAAGCTGATGAACAATGGTTTCTAGAGTGGAAATAGATTGAGGGGGCCATGTGGTGGCAACCAGTGGCCTCTGAGTACCCTTGGAACCCAACTGATGGGGTAGCACCAGTAAATAGACAAATATCTAATGGGGGTGCGAACAATCTCTGCAGAAGAAGGAACAGCCGTTCCATAGCTTAAGGAAGCAATCCATAAGCGGAGTTCATTGTGGGTGGGTTTTGAGAGAGAAATTGTGCCTTTTAAATCGTGACTTGTGGTAGGGAGCTGGAGTAGGCAAGTTTGAGGTAAATTTGCACTGTGAATTTTAGGTGGCCGAGGATGGATAACAGTATGTGTTTAATTCAAGTCTCTTTCTTATAATACAAGATAAAGAGAAATTATTCAGCCAATTTTCTCTTTAGGAAGAGAAGCTTGGAATTTGAGCAAATCGAAGTTGATGCCTAGAAATTCGATAAATGTATTGGGTCCAGCCTTCTGCGAGCAGAATACCTAGATTGGCGAAAACCTTTTGGTGATCTCTAGGTGTTTGGCTGGAGGCAATGTGTGTGTGTGTGTGTGTGTGGGGGGGGGGGGGGGGGGTGATTAGAATATCATCTAAAGTTGGATAAGGTGGGGGATTCTGCGATTGTTAGAAAGAAGCCAGTGATGGAGAATTTGCGAGTTGCACTGCTTATGGGACAAATGCGTGAAACCTTGAGTGGTGGGGCAGAGAATGGTCAAACATAAAGTGGTTGTCGATCTCTTTTTAAATAAGATGATCCACAATTTCTGGTTCAATCAGCAAAAGCTGACTGAATATTAGGATAGGAAGGGAGAGCTGAGGTGCCCGGGTGGAATCCATAGTTTAGACCTGAAATGAGAAAATCAGAAAAATTAGTGGTGAGAACGCAGTTCTCTAGCGAGGTGAGGAATCGACAGACAGATAGTGTTTTAAATGTTTTGGTAGACGTTCATTCCCCCCCAGGATAGTGGAGGGCCAAGGATATTGAGCATGGCTTGGCTGGTGATCTTAAAAATACCTCTTTAAAGTGGAGTAGGTGAAGTGATAAGTTTAAATTCCTGTGACATATTACGATCGGACTTCTATGATCGATGGATGCTTATTGTCATTAGGTGGGTGATTTTATTTTAGAAGTTAAATAGCTATTGGAAGTGGCAGGGTTTATTTATTTATATGCATGTTTATTTATTTATGTTAGTTATTTGTTTAATTAATTTATTTATTTAACTTCTAAAATGATGTTGTCATTTAATTTGCACTTGAACAATACTTATTAAACTGTGTCAATTAAATGTTTACTATGGGCTTTACTTTAATCTGATTGATTAAATAACATTACATTTGGAATCTTAACATGAATGAAATCAGAAGCATAATTGGCCCAATTCATTCACAAGGTCTTTGCAACCAAGTCTGTTCATAACTATCATAAAAGAGGGCGGGACCATCTCATGTTCTGACAGCTTGGATGGTGACACTTCTCTTTTCAGCTATTGGCTCAATGAAGTGTCAATCAAAAGGTCTGCAGCCATTTTGTTAGACCATAATACAAGTGTTTTTGTCTGAAAGATACTACTTTACTGAAAGCACTCCAGCAACAAGTTTGGATGACAGCAGTGTATCCATGTATGTTTATAAACATGTAAACATGTTGTGGACTAAAGTTTTATGGATTGGATTGCTTTGATCCTTGCAGTCAAATCAGCCAGGCTGTTAAAATGTTATGGACCTGTGAACAGACAGCAAGCTTGAAAGGTGGGTTTATTTGGTTTGTTATAATCTCTGCTTGTTTACAGATTATAGGAGGACGTTGTCCATAGTGTTTGTGTCTTTAAAATGGTTTAAATTATTTTTTATTTATGAGAGTCTTGCTTTTCTAAAGACATAAGAAATATTTAGTCTTTTGGAGAGTAGTTTCTCCTTAAAGAGAGAAGTTTCCCCTTAAAGCATACTACGTTACCACAGGTGGACCGCGAAGAGCGGTGAGAGTTTGGCTTCATTGCAGTGGCTGAAGTCTCAGGGAGAGCAGGGCTCTGGTTGCAGTTGTAGATATTGTTGGTTATTTCCATATTGATGGGCTAAAAAGTGCAATGCTGTAAAAGCTTTTAGAGCTAAAGCTTTTTAGAAGCAGGAAGCTTTCTTCCAGACGAAGATAGTTGTAGAAAGGAAATGAGGATATATATAGTGGTTTGGGATCCTTTGATTGGAGGATCATAATTAGTTAATGTGGACCAGCTGGGTAAATCATGAGCACATGCTTCTCTCGAAATTAGTTTAAAACTAAACTTCACTTAGTGGGGAAAAATATGTTTTTATATACAAGTGCAATCATGTGGAACAAACTACCAAAATCAATTAAGAAATAAAACATTTAAGGTTGTTCAAAAAAGCTATCAAAAGATGGTTGTTTGATGAGGATAATAAGTTTGCATGGTGGATGAGGATCTTTTAAATTATATGTTACTTGAGTGTGAATAGGTTTGCGGCTGGAAGGCCATTGGCTGTGTGGAACATGTGCTGGATAGGTTGGCTGTTCGTACCGCTGTGGCGTCTGTTTGTTTTATTTCTTCATTAGTATTTTGAAGCCATACATTGTTTTTATTTAACAGAGGAAAATAAGCCCAGGGCTTTATTGTGTTTTTATCCTCGACAGTTTTTTTTAACAAAGTGTATGGAATACTTTTTATACAGTTTGTCTAAAATCTGTCAAATAAAATAAAATTCAATTCAATTCAGTCCCCCCTTCCATCTTCTCCAACGGCCAGCACTCACATTGCATTTGCACCCGAGCATGCTTACGTCATCGATGATGCGCTGTTCAGAAGCACTCTCACTCAACACAGTCGAGATTTCTTTAGTTATATTGTTTTAGTCGTTTGGGATGTGGAGACACGCAAATATTTCACCAAACAAATCAGCCACTTTTGACGCTAAGTCCTCAGGAATAAGGAGGTTTGCTGAAGGTGCAGCTGTTGTGCAGTAAGGGGTTTGCGTCTTTAATAATCTATGACAGTTTGAGTTTAAACAGTAAGATTGATTAATAAACCCATATGATCCATATAAAACAGTATGTAAAAATCACGTTGTGTCTTCAGTTTCGGGCTCAGGCGTGATTTGCACTCACACGTCAAGCGTAGCATACCACGCCAAAGCCCAAGTGAACCGCGTTCTGGCACACCTCTTCCAACCGGGCCAAGGCCAACTGAACAGTGCCTGAACCCGAATCAGAGCACTTGCACGTCTCAAACGATCTGGGAAAGAGGCCTGGGCACAGTTCGGATAGCATAGTGTGAGTAAGCCCTAAGGCAGACATGTCCAAACTTGGTCCTGGAGGGCCGGTGTTCTGCAAAGTTTAGTTCCAACCCCAATCAGACCCACCTGGGCTAGCTAATCAAGCTCTTACTAGGCTATCTAGAAACATTCTTGCAGGTGTGTTGAGGCAAGTTGGAGCTAAAATCTGCAGGACACCGGCCCTCCAGGACCAAGTTTGTATACCCCTGCCCTAAGGAAACAGTGGGATAAATGGGAAGTAAGAGGATAAACAGTAAACAGGTAGGTGGGTTGATTGGCATCCTATGATGATGATGCTCAGAGACTCAGAGTGATTGGAACCCCCAATTCAACCTAGGAGTGAAAAGAGGGTTATAGGATTGTTAATGGGAAGCAAGAAAATGGAGGGAGGGTTTGAGGGAATACGAAGAACAGTGCTAGAGGGCTGGTCTGCCTAAACAGGTTTTCAGGGAGTTGGTGATTGGTTAAGGAGATAAACTCATGCATGGTTCCGCTGCTTGGTTGTTGCTTTGACGAATAATGTCAACAAAAAAATATGGGAAATATGGGAATATTTTGGTTTCATACTCAGACACCAAACAAAAACTGGTCATTTTTAAGAGCTGTCGTTGCCACAGCACACACATTACTGAGCTGAAGCTTGACAAAAAATGTTTTGCAAAACAAATTGCAATCACAATATCTGTCACAAAAATAAAATAATATTTTACAATTAGACATTTTCCCTAAATGGCACAGCCCTAGCGTTTACACTGAAAGTCACTCAATCTTTACAGTGAACAAGCCTAAAATGTTTCAAACACTGCTTAAAGCCATACTTGCCCAGCTGTGACTGGATCTTAATCTAGAATACATGACAACTGCACCTTAAAATAAGGTAAAATACAAAAGTTCTTGTAAAAGACCAGACCACTGTAAAATGTAATGTGTGATAAACAGACAAGCCGACACAATTTCATGTTTTGGACATTTTTAAAATGTCTTTATTGGTATTATCGGTATTATTACGTAATAACACATAACATCAACGTTAGCGTTCTATCACTAGTAATTTCTTGTTTTAAATTATACAACATTGCTTGGTTTTTGGCATTTAGTTTCCCACTAAAATAAAAAACAGGAGAAAAGAAGAAGCAATGAACAGATTGAGTCTTAAAACATTTCCCTTTTCCATACCAGAGAGCTAAGTGTTCATTAGCAGCAACTGTTGTTTGTCATTTTTAGACATGAGACGCTAAAATAATCGGCAGCTCACATAAGCCAGAGGACAATGAGAATGAGCTCTACTTCATATAGTCAGTGTTTTCCACTCCTGTAGATCTGATGAAGACATATTGGGCTTCTGAGCTGCTGTCAGACTCTGTGTTTGATTAAGAACTGAGATTTAGAGTCACACAGGTTTGATGCTAAACATAAGGGGTGAAGAAACTTCCTGTTGCATTCTACTGGAAGTGGAGGCAGAGTGTGTAAGAGTTCGTAGAGACCATATGACGTGTTACAGCAAATGCCAAGTGTCAAGAGTTTTCAGGGACACTCGTTCTTGTGTGGGTTGAGGGTGCAAGTCTCTGGTTGCGTGGACTGATGGATCACATCACACACGCACACACACAAGACGGCAAATCACAACGTTTGAGAGGGGGTGGAGGTGTGAAGAGTGTGCATGTCTCAGGTGAACTACATCTGTTCAGACAAACCCACACTAAAATCCTTCGTCACTCTTCAGACTCTCCCCAAGCAAGATTTTCGCTAATAAACCAGTTTATTTTTCCTTTTCCGCTAACAAAGAAAAATAATAATTATAAATTAGGACAACAAGAGACATCAGAACGCTAAAAAATTATAAAACGAACAAGAGAGCATGGTCTCACAGCATCTATTTCTCAATATTGTATAACGCTTTGTCCTTCTGTTTATTGGTACACATAGGCAGGACCGTCTCGCATGAATGTGTCATGTTTCAAAGGAGAGGAATTTGATCAAGGCTGCTTCCCTGAGTTAACTCTAAACTTTAAATCTATATTGCATTTTAAAAATGTAAACTAGATTTCATCTAAAGTCGAACTCGCATTCAATTGATCTAAACTCTACGGCATCTAACACTGTAAACCATTCCGAGCTGGTTTGGATCGTGAGTTTGGTCCACTTGAGGTTTTGTGATCTGTAAGACTTTCGATATGCAAATACAGGACTTTAAGACATTCCAGATCAAATCGGGTTGCTTACGTTAAACAAAAGATTACAGCGAATGTATATTTAGCTCAAATCAATACAGTTCCTGGTTCTCTTTCGAGTTACGATTGGCTTTTTTTCGACCACCGGGCTGAATTAAGAGAAGTTGTAGCACCCATTTCAGTTGACACATCAGTTTTATTGTTGCAGTAAATTTGTACAAACAAATCGTTGAAGACAAATAGCTTATTCATCATCAGCGCTTAGTGTTGGCAAACCGTTCAGCCCTTGTGGTAAAAACATTAGTATTTAAAAGTCTACTTGCTCTATTCCTAAGCAACTCACCGGTCAGACTCTCTAATATGTGGGAGGTTTGCTTTTCGGGGTGGCAGACATGCAGACTGGCATGTGGTCATTAGCAGATTATTGATCTGTAAACAAAGTGCATTAACCACTTTAAAATGGTGGACGTTCTAAAATGGCCGCCTCATTTACAGAATTACCGAGCAGATGATGCACATGAGAGTCAAGTTCCTAAGGGCCAAATCCTTGCTGACCCATTAGGGAGGGTAATTCAAAACGGTTGCCACTTCAGTCGTTCAATTTTACCGGCAAAGCAAATGAAACCTTTACACTTGTCTGATCAGCAGTAATTCATTTACTACAGGCAGCCTTTGCAACAGACTAAAATAACTCACTCATGCTTTAAAAAGAGTGGGGATGAATGAAAATATTCACAGCTTTCCAGTTTTTGTTCTTTCTGTCCCTCTATATATGTGTGTTGGGGGGGGGTCATTTTGAGGGCAAGGAGGTATGTGCCTTTGTATATCCTGGTGGGCAGTTGATATTTGGGTCCATTGTGTTTTTACTCTTGCCCCAAGCAATGCGTTATACCTTCAGCCAGGCTTTACCACAAGTAACAGACAAAAATTCATTCATTCATTCCTTCTCGCTCTCTATACTACAGACTTTAATGTGTATGTCAGTGTGTTTGTACCCTAAAACCCACAATATGAATGTACATCAGAATCCAGTTGGCTGAAAGGTTACATCTGGGAATCTTGTCCTGATAAAACCACTCTATAGTGCATGCACCTTCAAATAGTGGCAAATGCATATTCAGCTGGTGCACTACAGCCAGGCTGGAAGGTATACACCATCTAGTGTGCTTCCAAAACTGCGCTGTATGATTCTATAGTTTGTCAATGGAGAAGAAACATCAGGGGAGCAGCCTCAGGTGCGGGTTTACAGGGAGGGTTAGTATGATTACACATGTGAATGTGTATGTATAAATGTCCACTTTGAGTAAGTGTGTCGCTCTTGAATGCGTGTGTATGATGTGTTTGTAAGTGTGTGCGTTTGTGGCTGTGATTCCAGCTCACTCAGTCAACAGTTTCATCTCACTAGCGAGGAGGGAGTTGATATTGTAGGCGGGGTTTGCGCCAACAGGGGTGGGACCCGTTTCGGTTAGATCCGCCTCGCTCTCGCTGGAGGTGGAGCTTGTGCTCATGGTGGACATGGCGTCCGGAATGGGACAGGTAGTGCCGAGTGGGCAGATCTCGTTGGGAATACACACCTCTGAGGGGATGATCACCTCAGTGGGGATGCACACCTCGGGCTCGCTGCTGGTTTCGCTGGTGCTGGAGACCACAGAGAGCAGCGACATCTTCCTGCTGAGGCGGCTAGGCAGGAGGGAGAGCACAAAGTCTGCCACGATGCCCGCCACGTCCATTCCGCAGGCCTGGTCGAACGCGATAAAGCCCACGTTGGCATTGGCCTCGCACACTACAAAAGAACCGTCATTTTTCTGCAGCAGGTCAATTCCGCAGACGTCCATCCCCAAAATATTACACACCTGCACGGCCAGCTGCTTCCCCTGCTCGCTGAGAGGGCACATCATTCCCACCCCACCTAGAAGACAAAAGAAAGAAGAGGGAAATCATGAGCAAAGAAGCTGATGAGAGATTATGGACAATGCTGTTATTAAAACTTTTTTTTTTTGCAAGCATGCCATAACAATTATGCACCATGACAGTGAAGGCAGTGTTGGGGAAAGTTACTTTTGAAAGTAATGCATTACAATATCGAGTTACTCCCCTAAATAAATTTACTAATTGTGTTACGTAGTTACTTTTTATAGAAGTAATGCGTTATATTACTTTTGAGTTACTTTGGCGCTACTTTTCCTTACCTGGCTAAGGTTTGAACTCTTTAAGAACTTGCAGGTGTTTTTTCACCTCTTTATAGGGAAGCTCTGCATTTAACAACCACCTACAGTACAGAACCTCCACCTTCATTTTCCTTAAAAAAAATGTAGGATAAAATTACATTCTGAGACCTGAGTCCAAAGCTATGCATGCTGTATACAGATTATATGAAGCATGTAAAGTAATGTGTTTGCTACTTGTGTGTTTTGTGTTATTAATTAAGTAAATTCACTGTCCACTGAGATAAAGACTGCTGTAGAGCCAAAGAGTACTAACATGAAATCATTTATATTAAGGCAAAAACAGATTTTAAACCTTTAAAATGTTAAATAACAAAATGGCAAGACCATAAAAAAATCCCTAAATCAAAATAAATCTGAGCTTTATACATTGAATAAATTGCTTTACGTGGCCTTAATAAATGTGTAAATCGTTTCCCAAAAGAAAAAAAAAATGTACTAAATTACAAAATTTAGTTGCTTCTACATTAGTCAGTGGCTGCATCTCCTCAACAATAAAAGCAATAACCATTTTTTAGGAGGTTTAAGTCTAAATAATTGTTTTACCTGGAAAACATGAACTGATGTCTATCTTTTGTTGTTTAGCTAAAGGTGGGGTGTGGGTGTGTTTTGCATCCAGTTGGATCTTGCAGTTGTCAAAAGTTTTACTTGCACATAATCTACACTTGAAAACAATTTACTTCTTCTCTTAGATGAGTTCAAAATAATAAGATGTAAGAAAATTTAAGTCCCCGGCCTGCAATTGTTTCTCTTTCTGACTGTCTGTAGTGATGACGGGTGATTCGCGAATGAATCATTTGTTTTAACCGGACCTTCTAGTAAACCGGTCGAATAAGTTCATTAAATTGAACAGTTTTCGTAAACAATTTGCGGCTTCAGTAAATACTTAAAATACCGGATACCCCTCTGACTCGAAATAAACCTAAATCCCGAGTTATTCAGTTACTAGAACAGTACACTGACTCATCTGCTGTGAAAAAGGAGACCTGATGATGATGATGATGATGATGAGTGCGAATCAACTATGTTCCCTCGCAGCACGCTCTTTCATGGAGTGTGATTCAACCTGACTACGTCATTTTTATTTAGCAAAATATTTTTTAAAAGCCAATTAAGCAAGATAAAAAGTAACTTGCTTACTTGTTACTTTGGAAAAGTAATATTATTATGTAACATGTATTACTTATAACTAGAGCCAGACAGAATCTGTGAACATTTTTTGCTATTACTGTGGAGAATTTAGTTAAAAATCTGCAGATTTCTGCAGAATTATTTTGGGAGTATCATAACGAACACCTTAATATGTAAAATTAAAAATAATATCTTATTTAATGTTTAAAATGCAAATCCAATTAGATTAACTTCATTTTAAACAAAGCAAATCTCTCATATATCTACTAAAAGACAGAAAATATTACTGTACAAACTGCATTGTACATAAATCAGATGAACATTTTCATATTAGTCAATAATATTACTGTAAATAAAAAATTTAATAAAAATAGATTTACACACATTAACTTAAAGTGAATAAAAAGAATTATTGATGGGCTAAAAATCTGCGGAAATCTGTGGAAAATCTGTGGACTTCTGTATGCGCAGATTCCGTGTGGGCCTACTTATAACGTGTTACCCCCAACACTGGTAGATGGAGTTTACCTTTGTGGTTTTTCGAATGCATATGACCACATGATCATATGTGTACAATACGAAAGCAATCTAATCAGTTTTTGACTACACTTTGGACGTAATTAAAAGTGAACAGGCACAAAAAGCTTTAGTTTAGCTTACCACCCTAACAGAAGGTGTAAATGGTGTCAGTTGAAGTACACCAATTCCTATTGTTTAATTAAAAAAAATTGTTGCACAAATTTGCTCGTATAAATAAAAAGTCGCATAAAACTACCCAAATCTATAAACTGTAACTTAGTTAATTGCAACTTAAAGGTAATAAAAAAAAGACAAATAAATAAATATTATTAGTACTACAGCAATCATCATCGTCAAAATTTTTACCTTTTCTTTTTAAAATTGTTTACAGTATTTTCCTTTTTTTTTTCCTCTGGAAAAAGTCTTGTTTTATGTCGCCTAGAATTAAAAGTTTTCAAAAAAAAAACTTAAGGTCAATGAAATCAGTTATTAGAAATTAACTATTAAAAATATGTTTAGAATTGTGTGTGTGTGTGTGTGTGTTTTTTTTTTTTTTTTTAAATCTTTCCGTTAAACAGAAATTGAGGGAAAAAAAGTATATATACATACATATATACACACACACACACACACACATATATACATATACACACACACACATATATACAGGGAGCTAATATTTCAGAAGGGCTAATAATTCTGTCTTAAACTGTTTATTTAAAATAACATTAAAATGCACTTAATGTAGCATACTACTTGCCTGGCTAAAATTAATTTTACACTACATTATTCAAGATGATGAAATTTTAACTACAACATTTTGAATATTTCAGTAGAACTGCATGACTACATACCTAGTGAGCAGTTGCTCTGCATGCGTCCGTCAGTAGAGCAGCGCAGCATAGAGCCGATCACTCTCCCGCCAACCAAAACCACCCGCACATCTCGACCGTGACTTTCCTTCACATACTCCTGGAACAAGTATGGGGCTTCATGGCGAATCAGATGACAAAGGTCAGAGAGATGGTGCTTATCCCGGGCCAGGAACACGGCTTTACCTGTACAGATTAAAACATGGCACCAGCTATGATTTATCAGTGTTGAGGTTTTACACAGTTGGGAGGAGGGACAAAAGAAGAGATTTAGGTAAGTGTAATCTATCAGCTCAGAAAAGACATGTTAGACAGCAGGGAGGCCCTATAGAAACCAAGGGTCAAGCCTTTTGCTAAAAGGTGCAAATGTGATTCAGCAGGACTGGGAAATCTGCAGATGTTCAACCATCAGGCTGCAGTCACTCCACTCAATTTCCCATTGGTCAGAGGAAACCTTCCAAAACATGCTACAGTCTGACAAAGGTCAGCGTTGTGTGTCGTTTTACTTCTGCAATTCTAGTGAACTGATAGCCTTTTAACAAATTGCTAAAATGTGTGCGCAAGCTCTGCTTAACAAACCACTCCCTTTAACCAATACATTCACAATTTATGGTCATTACCGGACACTTATTAACTTTCAATGCATTCCAGTCACATTGACCCAGCAGAATAAATGGATTAAAAAAATTATTATGCATATTTATATTAAACTTTTTTGTATAAAAAAGCAAATAAAACAATACATTTTAGATATAGGCATGTATGATTAAAGCAGCTTTATAATTGTCAGTCAAATTTATCTTGTTATATCAGTGACAAAAATAACGTTCATAAGCGATTAGCTTTTCCCGCCCATTTCTCACACATTTGGGACCATTTGTATTTTATAGATGGTGTTTTCATTTACAAACTACTACAGCAAGATTTTTTTTTATTCGTGCTAACAACTAAAAATAGCAATTTACTTTATACTTTAAATAGATTTTCTCTTTTTTTTACCTCTTTGGGAGTCACTTGCATAATGAATGGAAGAGGATGCAATAAATTATTTACTCAGCAAGCTTGAACCCGTCCATGTACAGACTGGTTGGATTAATCTGAAAGATTTTAAGCCAAACGACCAAATTATTTTTTATTTGACCACTCAAAGTGTTTTTTTTTTTTTTTTTTAAATCTGACAGTTAAAAAAATTAAATATTGAGGAAAATCTCATTTAACTTGTCATTTCCAGTAAAAAAAAAATGTACTAAATATATATCCATGGAACATTATATTCACTTAATAATCTAATTATTTTTGCCATGAAGAAAAAACAAAACAAAACAAAAAACAATAATTGTGACAATGTATTTTACACTATAGCAAAAAAAATAAATAAATAAATAATTAAATTGTAATAATAGTAATAAAATTAAAACACAATAGACAATTTTGTGCTGCATGGTCACATATTAAATCACAGAAAAGTGAATGGCATTGATAGCTTTATAACTTTTAGTTTTATCATGAAAGAAGCGAGATCTCATCTTAGAGACTAAGCTCATTCAGAGCCATTTGCGTAATTCTGGAAGATCGCTGATCAGCAAATACCCTGAAAACAACAGCAGTTGTAAAATAATTGCTCTTTCAGCACTCACAGACCTCAAATTTGTTTGAAAAAAAGAGAAAATAGCACAAAGACGCTTTCTTTCCTTCTTCCAGTGCATATAAAGACAACCTTTGTTTTAAAGGTAAAAAGAGATGATGTTTCTAAGCTGCCCGATTTCTTTATTTGGAGATCCATTTATGTTCTCAGGGCTCCTGAAGGTTTGTCAGCGCTCAGATCTGAAGTCTAATGTGGCCTTGTTTCTTTCAGTCCCCAAAGGGCCCATTATGCACAGCGGCTGTTTTAGGATCAGTGATTTACCTCTATGTCCGCGAGCATTCTTCACCACCACAGGGTAACCCAGCGGCTCAGCTTCATCAATCATCTTGCGGAAGTTGTCATGTCCTCCTGGAATCACAAACACAGACACAGGTTAGTGACAATGTAATTAAAAAAAGTGAGATCCAATTGGAGTGCAAAATTCCTGAGTGAGATGCAAACAGCTCTAATGAAATGAGCAACACTGAGACATTCAATATCCACATGAGAAGGACTGCAGTACTGACAGATTGTTTTTTGCCTCGTACAATGTTTCCTAAACTACACTCCGTCCAGCTACGTGGCCAGTTTCTGAAGGTCAACAGCTCAGATGTTCTTTTGGAAAATACGTGCTTCAGATGAAACACCATGACCACATGTTTGACCCAGAGGCTGCAATATAAACAATTATTGTACGTCACTTTGAAAAACTCCTCTCATGGTCTATTTTTGTACTCGAGTTTCATTTTCATTTAAATTAAAATTCTTCATTCAAAGACAGATATGCTGTTCTATTTGTCTTCATGTCAATTTTAAAAATAGCACTTTCAGCAGGTAAAAAGAGCAAAATTGCCAGTTCAACCGGAAACACTGGCAAGATTTTATTTTTTAACAGTATATTTACTAAATATTAATGTAAGAAACTAATCCAGAACTAAAACATTCTTCATTTACTGAATAAAAATCTTTTAAATCTAGCTAATTCTGCAGGTGGTGCCCATGGATCTGCAGAAATAACGGTGTTCCTTTGGTTACTGCAGTAAATAAAGCAGCATGATGTCAAATTTAGCAGGATTTCATCAATTTTATAAACTACACAGCATCCTGATATTCGCAGATTTAACTCAGGCAAACTTAAGCATACAACGATACTTTGCATAAACATATCAAATTGAATAACATGCAAAACAGCATTAGACTTTAAGGGCCTTACATTTTTCTAAATTGATTCATCAACTTTTAATACTTAAGTAGACCCCGCAGACACACAGTTAAACAAAACCTGTTATGGCCATCACAGCTAAACTGAAAAGTGAATTTGCAGGGTGTGTTTTTTATTTTATTTTTTTTTAAACAGAGTGCATTGCTGTGACAATCATTCACCCACATTTTTGAGTGATGAATGCAGTAGCCAATCAGAGGCCTTCAGTTTAGTCACCACTGACAAACTGACAATGCTTGGATTTTTAGTGCACACACAAATACTGACTGAATCCTGTGCAATTAATTGATGACAAGATTTCTGTAATTACCAACAAAGTTCTAAAACAATGCACAATATTAATTTGAATAGTTTTTGCATAACTTGCATTAATCTGCATAGCCAACTTATGTCATTTTAAGTCAGCTATTAACATTAACACTACACTGCAAATAATATTTTTGTCTTGTTTGTAGTCTAAACATTAAAATCAAGGAGCATTTTCTACAAAAAAAAAAAAACTGTTTTCATAAAAAAACGAGTCAACATTAAGCAAGTTTTTACTTAAAATAAGTTAAATTGTTTGTTAATGGAGTATGGTGAACATGCTTGTTTTTAGCTTGAATGGCAGCAATTTAAAGATCTAACCTAGCAAGGTTATTATGCCGTCAGAATCTTGTACTGGCCCATGCCTAGTTCAGTTAGTCTGTTACTCCATCTTGGAACATAAACGATCAGTTATTTATTTTAACACTAAAAACTACAAAACTGTATGTTTTATGTCAGCCTGTTTAGGATTTCAACAACCAGAATCTGACAAACAGGTTTTAAGTTATAGAAAACTTTAAGAAAACTGCAGAACTTTTTTTTTCATTTCTTGAGTTTATATGAAATTTTTTTTATTTGCATTTAGCTTTCAGTGTTTGGTAAAGACCAGCATTTTCAGTTAACACACAACCACTGGTTTCATTCAGCCTAAGATGAAACAAACAAGACAATGTGCATTCATAGACAGAAGAAAAGGCTAAGCAGTGGGCAGAAATATAATTTAAGCTCAAACCCAAACCACAGTAAGTATAACTACTGGATACATCTATACCCTGTATATGCATATCCCTCAGTCTTCTGCTGAAATATGTATTTTTTCAGAGCAGAGCAGATGAGCACCAGAAATGTTGAATGCAGGGTTTCTACAGGTTTCTTCAAGTCAAATTTAAGACTTTAAGTTATGAATGAAATTTAACACTTACACGGCTAAACACTAGTGATTTTTTCCCCAATGTTTCAATAATGTTTTTGTATTATTGGAAGTTCATGTGTCTCTTTAGTTTTCTTTCCCAGATTAGAAAAGTTAATTTGAAGAATTTGCTGTAAAAATGTCTAACAGTTGTTGTGAAGTGTAACTCTTTGCATTAAAAATTTTATAATTAAAAAAGCTTTGAGATACATTAATGGTTTTTGGGTGTCAGCCGGATTGGGTAGCTTTACTTGTAGCTTGACCCATTTAAAATGACAAAAAAATTTTAGCCCTTAAAAAGTCTTAAATTCACTGAAATATTGTGTTTGGACACCCATGTGTATACAAGGGTCGAGAAAAGAAAATAAAGGCAATGTCCAAGTGGCTCTGCCAGCAACACGTCCGTACAGCAGCTGTAACTGCCGCTCTAAACCCCCTCTCCTCTTTTTTCTCTCTTTGCCTTGCTGCTTTTTCTTTTTGGGTTTCTTTGGTTAATCAATAGGGCTTCCCCTCTCATTCTGCAAACAAGAGACTGTCACATAAACCATTGTCTGGCTGAATGAATGTAAAATACATACACATGCAACCATTCAAATATTTAGTCACTTTTAGAGTAAGTGACCATTATTAGTCAATTAAAAAATTAAAATAAAAAAGCCCTTTCTTTCTTGTTTTAGCTTATTGTAAATAAGCAGCTTCAACAATTCTTGAGATTTCTTTGGGCCAACTTAATTGTTTTAAGTTTAATTCACTTAGATTTGTTAACTTATTTCATGATGTCTCAAAAAAATTTAATTAAGCCTGTGAAACCCTGCATTTTTACAGTGTGTGACTATAAAAACTGTAAAAAACGGTATTTCAACAACACATGTAAATAACTTATTTTTTTATATAGTTTAAAGTATTTTTATCATTAAGTATTTTACTTATCATTTTAGTATTTACATTTACAAGCCCTTCATAAAATCCCTATAATATGTCGATTTTGGGGTCAGTAAACATTTATCAATATAAAAAAGGACATAAAAGTGTGATGTGAAAGATCTCTCCAAAGCATAGGGATATGTGAAAACGTTCTTTCATACTGATCCATGAAAACCGCTAAAACTGCTGTATTATTAATGACAGGCCAATAGCGGGTGATGTCACCTTGTGAGGAAACCCTACACGACTACACACATACAGTCCTATAGTCCTCCTGTGTTTGAGTTTTTATGACTCATACTCCAGTGTTTTTACAAATTTGTTTTTGTATTTTACATGGACACAATAATGGTATCGTTTTCAGAAACTTGCCATTTGAAAATGCAATCTCAAAAATTATTTTCCATATTGAACAATGATGATACAGATTTTAAAAAAAAAAGTGTTAATGCTTCCAGATTTAAGAGTACCCCAACAATGACTGAAGCCACAAAAATGAAAGGTCCATTAAATAGCAAAACATATTTTCGGCCGATAAATTTTTGGTGCCCGAAAAATCAGTGCATCTCTAGTATCAACACCCTTTTAGACTTCCATTGATGCACATTTCTGCTCTGTGATTGGCTCTTTGATCAACATGGAGTCAAAAAGTCCAAAGCTTATTATTGTTAAAGACATACATTTTATTGCGATTCAATATAATATAGTTTATCAGCACCGCCCTAGTTTCAGCCCTCTAACATACCAATTTAAGAGCAAATAAATGGCCTAAATGTAATTGTTTAAAAAGTTTAACCATGTAAACTTAGTCAGCTTTATACGCCACAATTTCTATTGACAGCAGCCACTGGAATCTTTTTGGCTCAAGATTTCTGGTCTCATTCACTTCCATTGATTTCTAGACATTAAAAACAGCTTGTTATGCTGCTTGATTTTGCAAACTGATATCTTTGTATTATATTGTTATGATAATGTTTAGTATTCCTAGTCATTTCTCCCATAAGCAACTTAATCAGAAATACTACAACCAATCGCAGCACATTTTTCCCAGTAAAAACAGAAAACCTAATTGCTTGATTACTTCACAGACTAGTCATGGACTTGTTTCCAACACAAAGATGAGCTCTCACCATACGAGTACGTGTCTGGCAGAGGGACTCCATGCCCAGCGAGCTCCTGGAAGGTCCAAAACTTGTTGACACAGTTGAGAATAGCCTGAGGGCGGTTGACCAGACGACAGCCCATCTTCTCCAGGTGACGCAGGACTGTGATGTCGCTGTCCGACTGGACCCATGGGGTAGGAACGCGCACCACAGCAACCTGCGGGTATGAGGTAACAATCTCCTGCCCAACCCGCAGACCTGAAAGAGACAGAGAGAGAAAGCAAAAGGAAGATAAATCACATGTTGCAGGACAGGCAGTGCAGTCTGTGTTTTGGCCGCCACAGTATTGTGTGGAAGGATTACACTTGTGTATCCGAGCAACCAATAAGAGCCAGACTTTCATTATGATGCGTCGCCCCTTTCTCTAAAACACACACATACACACGCTTAGAAACGCTCAGTATGACAGATTAGCTGGCCTTAGTTCACAAAACAACACATGACGGCGTCTGTGTAATACTAAATAGCTGATCTCTTTCTGAGAGCCGTTACACAATAATGCAGAAGGTTGTCGCTTTGCTTCACTATTGCAACGTTCTTGCTGACCTAGTAACCCAGTTTGCGTTGCTTTCTGCTTTTAATTAAGATGCCAGTTTGGTTTTATGCTCAATTAACACCAGACTTTACTTATAAAATCTAAAAATCTGGTTTTAAACACAGATGCGGATTGAATAAGGGTTCAAAAATCATGCCTTTTGACACAGATCACCAATTCAAGAGCAGATTAAAGCTGTCGAACATTAAGAAAAATCACAAATATGTCTGGTGTATGGCTGGAACAGAACACAAAACAGCAGATGACGTTGAGAAGCGATTTCAGAGACTACATTAAGCCAAGCATGCGTATTTTGAGAAATATAAAACAGGGGAGGCTTGAGACAAACAAAACATGAATGCGTCACAGAATTTCTCATCTCTCCTGCTTCTCCGCCATCTTAGGATGGAGCAACACACACACACACACACACACACACAGCACGACTCAGCATCTTCAGTCGCAACTGCTACATCAGCACTCCCTCTTCCTCTCATGGATCAGAGCGGAGAGCACTTCAATGCATGCAGTTAAAGAGACATGACGGAACTATAGGGGCAAAGAACTAAATGAAGAAAAAAAAATAATGTTATACAACACGGGTTAGATTTGAATTTTTAATACCGACTGAACAGACAGTCATCTGCTTTGAATTTTCTGTTCCACCTAGCTGAACTGCACCTTATCCCAAAACCTAGTGCATTCTCTATATAGACAGCCTCTCAAACGTTAGCCAATGTTAGACAGCAACTATGGTTGATGCATTACCTGTGATCAACCTGCAATGTGTAATCTAAAAGTGTAATAATCATTAGAAAGAAAACACATATTAGGTGTAATAATTAATTTAATTACAACAAACTAAGATAAAAGGCAAATTTCACTATGATTCACATCATATGCTTTTAAAGAGTCTAAGATGTGTGTGTGATTCAAAATGTAAAGTAATATATTCAAGTTGTGTTCATCTTAATAGTTAATTGAAAATACATTCAACGTTTTTTTTTTTAAATATATATTTTTAACAACAATTATCAATTTTATGTTCTTGCTGAAAATGATACTTTAGGGTTTCACCAAGTCAAATTTAAGAAATTAAGACCATTATAAATGAAATTTCATACTTACACAGGGCTAAACCGTAAGAATTTCTACTTGAATAAAATAAATGTATTTACTTGAATAATACTTAATGTGTCAAAAGAAGCAAACCATATATACTTTTCTTTGACAAGCTTTAAAAACTAAAATGAACTAAATGTACGACAGTCTGTTTAGGTCAGTGTCCTTTTGAACTTACAAATGTTATTGTGAATAACCATATTGTTAGATAGAGTTGTAAATAGAGTTTTACTAAGTTTTAATGAGCTGTACAGTTGGTGACTGTATACTCTATACAGGTGTTAGCCTGATGGGGTAGCTTTACATGGACATTGGGAAATTATGACCCGCTAAAAAAGTCTTTTAAGCTTTTATTTTTCAGCCTTTTAAGGCCTAAACTTTTGTTTTTTGAAATTTAAGACATTTTAAGACTAAGACCCCATGGATACCCTGTACTCTTAAAATGAAAATAAATAAATAAAAGCAGTAGTGTAGTTACCATAAAGGTATAGTTCACCCATTTTTTTTTTATTTTGTAATCCTTTACTCTCCCTTCACTTGTTCCTGCTTGAAGAAAGCTGGAAACCTAACCTTTGACTTCCATGGTATTTGTTTTTTCTACAAGGGAAGGCAATGGTTACAAATTTTCAGCTTTAAGAATATTTGTTTTGCTTTCCATGGAATAAAGAAAGGTTTATACTTATAAAAAGTACTTATAAAAGGTTTTATACACCCACTTGAGGGTGAGTAAATTGTGAGTTCATTTTCATTTTTGGAAGAACTACCAAAAAAAAAATTCTATGTCACCCATTTCACAAAACCCATAAACATGGCAGCACATTTATTTTTTGTTTGGGCTAACTTTATCCCAACCTTAAAAAGGTAACTTTGCAAAAAATAAATTTGGGGTACAATTTATAGACCAACTTAAAGCAAAAAGATTATCTTACGATCGAACCCTCATTCTGATCTGACTAATTTCCTGAGGAAATGACAGTCATGCACTCACTGCATTATCAAGAATCTGCCCTCGAGCACTTGTTAGAAAACAATCAAAAGGTGTGTATACACCACTACATGATGGTTGACAAATTTGTTTAGTATTAAGTTTTTTTTTTTTTTGTATTTGCCCAAGGCACAATCATAATTGCATTCATCGAGTCAGAACATATACTGTAGCACACATGCGTCTAGCTCGCTCACTTCCCTTTCTGTGGCAGCTGGTTAAGAAACATGACTAACAGGGTGACACACACACACAAACACACATACATACACAACGAATCCAGAGCAAGTGAGAATTTCAGGATAACCTACTATGTTAAGAACAGTATAGACAGAGGTTTAACCTACTTCAGAAGAATTCTGGGAGGGTGAGGTGAGCTGGTTTAGATACAGGTAGCTAAACAGACAAAACAAACACAAGGTAAGTAATCCTCATTAACAGACACCACGGCTAATCAGTGTCTGGGCAAATACCACACAATTAATAAATAAACGATCATTAAATTGTTTGGGGTTAGAATGATTACATTTATTTAAACAATACAGTGTCTTTATTAAGGTAACTAACTGATCTTAAATGAAAACTCAATATCAGCTCAATCTTAAAATGATTACAACAATAAATGCAAAACAAATATTGTAAACACCTAATAGTATATTGATTAAGTGCATAAGTCCATAATCAATGTTGAAAACATACTGCAAATATGTGTGTGAAAACTTTTAAGATTCTTTGATAAACAGAAAAAAATAATTATATATATATATATATATATATATATATATATATATTTTTTTTTTTTTTTTTTTAACTTAAAAATGGACTTGACAGTGCATCCTCACGAAAAAGGATAAACTTTCTACTAATTTGAACTTATTTAACTCTATTGTACATTTGTTTTTGTTAATCAAAATGCTTCATGAATTAAAATGTGCCAATGAGTTGCCAATTTAAATCCATTATGAAGAACTACATATTAAAAATAAAAGGGTTAGATTGACCATCCAACATCAAGCTTGATCACTGTAAACAACTGCATAAAACATACAGCCCCAAACACGAGACTAGAATTGGCATTCATTCCAGTTCAATTCTGACCAAGGCTTTATTACGTTAGCATACATAACAGAAACTCTTAACTGAAGCCACCACATTCACAAGTGTCACACAAGGAAGATCCTAACCCAATCTAAATCTGACTTAAACAGCACTTCAGAAAGGTAGTCAGAATTGAATTCATGCTGCTGAAGCAATTAGGTTAAATGCTCATGTAGTTGAATGCATTCAGCCACAAAAGTCCACCTACTGACCCACTTCCTAAACATTACTTACGTGCTTTTGAAGCACACTAACCAGATGGGAATAACACTTTGCTACATGAAATCCTAAATTCAAGGCAACAAATTATAAAAAGCACCATGTTCATTTACAAATTCTTCGAACACAAAACCACACTCTCAGAACTGCATTCCAGAGCCGTCTTTTGCATCCATACACAAATAAGTAGGTTTGTTTTGATATATTAGATTGGAAGATCAGGAAAAAAGTGCAAGTGTCCACTACACTGAGAAAAAAAAATTCTGATTTAACAACAGAGAATGTATCTCCCTCTTAAATCCATGATTTGATTGACCAAATGCACTTTAATGCTAGATGTAAACAAAGCCTTGGTAGACAGCAGATATCAATTAAACACTTCACCTCTCAATTGATAAAATGAATGGTCTTGGGAAGTGGCTGATTAAATGATACTGGTGTGAAGTTTCACTTATCACCAACTAGAGTCCAAAACAGTCACATGTGCGTTATCTGCATGTTTTTCTATTGTATTTTCCAGTGCACAGTAAACCAGTGATAGATTTCGCATCTCTTAGAGGAATGGACACTTGACATCAAGAACTAACACGCACACACTTGGTTCACACCATCATATGAAGTGAAAAATCACGCTGCTAAGTCCTGAATCCTGATTGCCTATTGATTGGTTGATTGCCGCATGTGGCGCAACACGCACAGCAGGAGATAAGATAACTATACACTCTTCTGCCGCATGTCAACAGATTCCCAAGCACATTCGAAGAATCCATCTTCAAATCCTGCTCTTTAACAGCAATGTCTGACTGACACAAAAGATCATGATTATGTGCTGACCTAGTCTATGTGTCTCACGCTGATGATGTAACTCAGCAGTATGTCAGGATCTCTAGGGGTTTAAATCCCAGAGCTGACCAACTGTCAACCACCACCTAATCGGACCAAGACAGGATCCAGGCCAGCAGATTAAACATGCGCACACACACACACACAAACATACATGACAGGCCAACAACTTGCTCCACTTGTGCTGCGGTCATGCAGTCCAGACAGCTGTCTACCTTTGCATTAAAGTAGGTCAATACGGTCAACAACACTTTTGTTTGTTCAGGTCTCGTTGTTGTTATGCATGTTGCAGTCACACCACTAAACTTAAAGTAGCTGATTCAAAGCAAAGCTGCATTGGTGCATAGCCACTCCCTTTAACTCAGGCCCATGCAAAATGCACCGTCCCAGTCCCCATCTGCCACCCCCTTCAAAATATGCTGTTGGGCCAAAGCAAAACAGCCCCACCCACCCACAATGGCAACCCTGGTGTCAATGACTCAGATCATTGTCTTATGAAACACTTTGTAACTCGCGGTGAGCTTATATTATCATAGGGATAGTTGAGATGAGAATATCCCCATCATTCAGCCTCATGTTTGTAAATAACTTCTAAAAACGGTCACTTTAATATGGGGGAAAAAAAATTCAGGTGAACAAAATTCAGGTCTAACAAACTGGCCAACATCTTTTGTGCAACATAAATGAGGTTTGAAACAGAAAGGTTCATTAAATGATGGATTTATTTGTGTTTTGTCCCTGTAACAACACACACACACACATATACATATATATATGCTCCAGTTTCTCCCCCACACAGACACGTTTGTTTTTGTGAATTGTGGGGACATAGGTTTCCATTGTTTTATACTGTACACATTGTATGTTCTATTGGCATCAAGGTTACCTGAATCAACTTGGTTAGAATAGTCGTTTCAGATGATTAAGTAGCTATTAAATCTGGTTAAACTAGATCATATTTATGACTTAAATGATTCAGCATAGGTGTGAGTACATTAAAGCATCCAAGACACCACATGTTCATCAGGCTATGTGCTTGCTGTTGCTACCAGCCCATTATGCTAATACATAAATAATCGTCTAAAAGACGATGCAAACATCTTCCGGCTGATTAAACATTTTAATGGTGAGGTGTGCACGTGACGAATCGATGATCTCGATTAAAGCCCTTTGTATGTGGAAGCTCGAGCGAATGCGTCACAACGCCTGTTTCATTCATTTCGACCAAATCAAATATAAACCTCGTAAAGATGAGATAAAACTCATTAAATAATCGCGAGTGTACCGGCTGAATATAACGGGTCTTTGTGAACGTCGCGCCATCTGCGCTCGAGGCTTTATGTGTTGATAATGAACGCGCTCGCGCCGCACACTCGTGACTGTTCGCGCGCACATGGTGCAACAATAAACGGTAATATCGATACATTCGCGCCAGCATTTGCATATCAAGTCATTGATGAAAGATTACAACGATTTCTCAAATATTCTCAACGGCCTCTCATCCTGTGGTAGCTGACTGGCTGAAAACTGGGTTAGGCGGTCACCCACACGCACATCTACACAAAACACACTCGCACGGTGATGCACATCCGCTCAATCATGCGCGCCAGCCGTACACACTGACCAGATATTCAGCCAACTCGACAGTTTAAACACAAAACAATTTCAGTGCAGATGGTATGCTTATGTGTGTGCGCGCTCTCTTTACCGAGCTGGCCGTCGGTGATGGTCAGGACGATCTCATCCATCAGTAGATAGCGGAATTCAACATCATCCTCGACGCAGCGCTCCTTCAGAGCCCGCAGGATCTGGATCTGCGGATACTCCTGGCTGATCCGCCGGTCAGTGATGAACCACACCCGGGAGCACATGTTTCTGGAGTGCGGAACTTCGGGGAACGCTGGCTGCAACAGGGACACGAAGCTGATGCCACACAAAGAGCCGCAAAGCGGTTGTTAAAAAAATCCAAATCCTCCGGTCTACAAAGATGCGAGACTGCTCAAAAAACGCAGCTAAAATCGACTGTTAAAGAAAACAGGTTGAGGGGTCGCGGTATTGCCTCCCAAATAACCGAAAGATGATAGCGCGCTCCCCCACTGAGGGGCAACAGTAACTGCCCCCGTCACGGGCTAACAAAAGCCTCGGGTCCTGTCGCTCAATACGATTTAGACTTAAACGATAAAAAACCCCGACAAAATGGAGCGAGGGCGGATGAGAGGCTGGATGTTGTGACGAGTGATGCCCCTGCTGATCTCCGGTGCTCGCGCTGCTCTCTCAACGCTACGCCTCGGCTTTTCCAGCACGCGCTTTGCGTTTACAACTCTTTCCCTCGCACTCATGCACGGCCCTCGCCAGCCAATGAGCGAGCAGATTTCGCACTCGCATCGACTAGAGTCTTAGGCGCGATCCAATCAGAAAAGAGAACAAGAGGAGGCTCGAAGAGTCCCCGCGAGCCAATGGCAGATGCGAAGGGAACGAGGCAGAGGGGAGGGCTTGACGTATGCGTGAACGCGCGCGTGTTCGCTCAATGCTAGGATTTTTCTGTGCATGTGTGAGCGCGTGGCAGATATTTCAGAGACGGGAGAGGGAGGGAGTCCGCAAGAGCGCGCACTGCCCCCGAACCGGTTCAGACCGGGCGCGGGGAGGTTTGGTTTGGTTTAGTTTGGATATCAACGCCTCTGTCTCACTCATGCTACGTGTTGAAACGGTCAAAGAAAAAGCGGTTGAGAGAAGAATCCCCACGCCCGTGGAGGCGGAGAATGAGCGCGTCCGAGGCGCATCCTCGCTCTTTTGTGTTGCTCGACTCGCGCTTTCTTGGTGCTGTGGCATCCCCCTAACAACTAAACAATGATCAATTTCTTGTAAGTGGATATGGATAGTTTATCAGGATAGACATTTTGGGTCAATGTATAACTATGCCTCATAGCAACGTCTAGGTTTTGTTTAAATCCTGCTGTGTTTTAATGACCGACATATAACTCAAGGCTGTTCACAAAATGCGTTTCAGGGATGCAGAACCCTTAATATTTTCATACCGCAACAAATGACCCACTTCGGCTTTGTTTACTCCCAGAGAGACGGGAGGGGCGGGGGGGGGGAGAGAATAGGCATTACAGCATATAAAAGCCATTAATCTGGCTGGTAAATAAGAGAGGTGTTTAAGTAAAATCAAAGCTGACTCAAATGAAATTTTCTCTCTACGCTGTGAAATATGATCAGGAAAGTTCACACTGTAATAGAACGGTGCAGTAAAATCCTTATTTCACCCGTTTGTCCCGCCTTATTTCGACATAACACGTCCATCAACCCCCAGCGCCAAATTCCTTAGCCAATCAGATTTCATTAAATACTTTTGGGGCGGAACCGTTATGGCGTGATACATGTTATTTATTTCTCATATATCTTTACCTACATTGCACATCGGTCAGCCTTAAGAAAGGTGACCCTCTCACCTTACCTATGTCATTTGATCTGATGGACAAATGTAAGTTTTTCTTAATCAAATTGGTTACAAATACATCATTTCTAAACAATGAAAAGTACAAGACGCCAGTGATGTGGGCGAGGTGATGTAAATGTGGCGGTGCTGCGATTATGCGGCAAGTCAATGCTGCCACTCAGTGGATGTTTTTTGTAAAACATCATTTACACCACATTATAATGTATTGGCTCTAAGCTTGTTAACATAGAAATAAGTCGTGCGTGTGAAGTGTATAATAATTATACATATAGACCGTTTCATTGTGACGATGTCACTGGCCCATGAACATTTCCTGCTTGTTGCCAAACTACTTCATAACTGTAACAAGAGACAATTTGACAAATTCTTAATGTTAAAAACGGCTGCCATAACATTATTTAGCAATATGTGGACTTTTTTTAATTCTTGGAAGCTATGGAAATTCAAAATGTAAATCAGGAAATAAATAGGGCCATTGTTATTGTTCGCATAACTCAAACTGGTCCATATTTCCTACATTTAGGATTTTTCTGAATAATCAGCTCTACATTTTATGAAAAGAAATTTGATTGTGGTTTATTTGCATCTCCACTTTCTCTGGTTTAATCTGTGGTTTAATGTGTAAATAAACATTGTACAATAGTGGACTAATCAATAAGCAATGTCATGTTTTTTTAAAAGCATTTTGATTTCATTGATAGATTTTTAAATGACCAAATAAATTGTTGTCAAATTAAGAAATACAAAATGCACTATCCCAATTCAGATAATGTTTATAAGGCTTGTGAGTGCTAATACATTTAAAAACTGGTACATTTAAGTGTTTATGAAGCAGTTTGTCAATTGAACAAACACAAATCCATCAAATGAACTTTAAAACAGAGTAGTTTAATCATTCAAGAACAAGTATATTAATGCAACTAAACTCTGGAGATGTTCAACAGTATTTTACCTCTTTCCAAATCACATTTACAACGAAATGTTATTTTTATCTGGAGATTAACAGGGGGTTAAAAATGTGAACAATATTACAAAATAAATGTCAGTAGGCTTACAATAGTATAAAGATTAAAGTTGGTTTGTGCTGAAATTTACACCACTATCACAATTTCTAACAAAATGACAATGGATCCTTTGTAACATGTCATGACTACTTATAGTACAAAAGACAAGTTCAGATATATGATCAATTTTGATAGATTACAAAGTAGCCTAAGTGACTTAATGCTTGCAAGCTTTGGTAACATTTTCAGTCCAAACAATCCATCATAGTGTATTTCACAGTGTACATATTTGCCTTCGTGTTCACCCGTTAACTTGTTCTTATTACAGTAGACTTAAATAAGGAACAGCCTTTTTGATCTACTACAACACATATCTGTATCACAATGATTGGCAATCGCTGATCCTATTAGGAATTTCTGTTTAGTTTAATACCATGTTTACCATCAGCAAAGAATAAGTGAAGCACAATATAACAGTAGCCTGTCTTATGTCATAAATCATTTAATCGATACACCAAATGGGGACTCAAATCTGATTTCAGATTAACAAAAAATGCAAAGAGAGAGACTTTTAACACTATTTATTAATCTTCCTTGTGAATAGGACTTAATTTTTTTTCTGCCTATTAATGTCCTGGTGTTTTCAAGTAAACAGTATCCTTTATTAATTCTCCTGTTTTTCTGGTACAGTGCAGAATCCAATAAATAAACCATCACACTATCAATCATACATGAAAACTCTGACATGCATGAATAGACCAAACTATTTATACAATAAATAAAACACAAAAATCACAATCTACAAAAATAGAAGCAAGTTACTATAACGGTTACCTTTTTTGAGTGTGAAACTCACAGACCTTCGGTTAAACACAGAATATGTACAGTAATAAATAGTAGTCAATGATTAAATGTATTGCCATATATTTTGACACCAGCAAAAAAGAACTACAGCATAAAGTGCACAAACCCCGCCCCCTCAATCCCTTAACTTTTCAAGCATTTTTAAAACATGCATACTCTGATTTAACATGACATTGGGCTTGATATTTATGTTTTCCAATTTTGATCATCTATATTTCTGTTAGACTTAAATCTAAAACACCTAAACCATCTCCTCAAATCATGTCAAAACTACAGTAAGGTGCACATGAAAAGTGTAAAGCCAAACAGCGCCCTCTGTCATGGCAAAAGCATGTGCAAACGTTGATATGTTGATTGAGTTCTCTTATCATTAAATAATGACATGTCATAAAACATACAATGTAAATGACCAGAAAAAACAAAGGTCAATCTCATGTTACCCATCATTTTGCATGAATTTAAACAAGGTCCAATATTTAGATGGACCATATTTACAGTGTTTAACTAAGGAAGCATTTAGGAAAACGTTGTTGACATCATAATCATTTCATAATTCTCATTTCTTGACTTCTAGAATGACGGGACGCATGATGTTGTGACTGTCTGGCTGTTTCAGGACTGTTGTTGTGGTGGTGGCTTGCTGGACGCTGCGAGTAACAGGTCCTCCAACTCTCTCTCTCAGCCTCTGAGACATATGGTCCTCTCTTCTGGGCTTTACATCACCAACTCTCAGCTCCATTTTTCTACGTAAGATATGTACACCAACACCTGGCTCCTGAGAGTTAACCTGAGCTTCAGGGGAGAGTTCTATTGTATTTGAAGCCAACTGCGGTGCAAACCCACTGCTTAAAATAGGCTTGCGTTTTTTACTGGGTTCAACCACAGATGTTGACAGAATGGTAGACCTTTTGAGCCTAAAATCCTGAGTGGTAACAACTGCTTCATTTTGCTTAATGATCTGACTTTTTGTTATAGTTTTTGGCCCATGGGTTGACCCATGTGGTTTTGAGCTCATATTTGCAATTTGTCTCTGAAGGTTCCCATTGTTCTCCTGGGTTGAAACGATACTCAATGTTCTCTTCTTCGAGTTTCTATTGGCCGGCCTCATGGGGCAGCTAAACGCTACATGTTTCTTTAAGCTAGCGTTGTATGTGAACTCTCTGCTGCAATGAGGGCATGCAAAAACATTCAGGTCACCCTGAGCAAAGGCCTTTCTCCCTCCAGCAGGCCTACCCCTTTGCACCAGCTGAGACTTCTTCTTATTCAAGATACTCATTTTTATCTTAACGGGTGATTCGTGAAAGTTCAGTTTTTTCAACTGTCCAAATTTTTGATAGAGATTATGCCTACTGTTAACATACTTTGCAGGTGATAAAACACCATGTTGGCATTTTGCAAACTGCTGGAGTGGTATAGGGTTCTTTTTAGGAGTGTATCGCTTTTTGTCGCTTGCATTAGCACAGGCTAAGATGTGCTTGTGCAGTTCAGGCATGTTGTCAAAGCTCTTACCACACTTAGTGCAACGAATGGCCGTGCTGAAGGTCTGAGGGATGTTGTGGGTGGTAAAGTTGGTGGCTGATGCAGATGTTGTCTCAGTAAGTGTCCTATTGTGATATGGAAATGGAGGAGGTTTAAAGCTTGGGTAGTGTTGGTTAATGCCCAAGCGTACATCTATGCCTTTTGGTTTAACACCTCCAGATGCCATGCTTTTAATCGTTGTGAACAGCTCTTCAGAGGTATTGTCCAGTTCATTCTCCTCCACTTTTGAGGTTGAGTTTTCAGATTCTTGCTTAAGTTCTGCAATTGGGATGCCTGGATCAGATGTCTCAGTTTTAGGACTGTTATGGTTTTCAGGTCTTAACTTACCATGTATTACATCAGAATGCAAGCATTCTTGACCCGGATGGAGATCGCGCTGGTGCTGTTCCAAATTGCAAAGGAATGCAAATTCCTTAGAACATGTTTTA